TAGTGCTATTACTGTTCAATATGTTCCTCGTATTTGAATTATTTCATAAACATTCTTCCACCTCAAAATCTCCACACACTACAATTTGTCCCTTTTTCCTACCTTGGAAAAGAGCAGAATATGAATTTGACTAAGCCTTTTAAACCAGTTCTTTGATCGTGCTATCGGTGTGAACGTCCCACGGTCCCGCTTCCTTCCAGTAAAAGCAACCTCTGATTTACTCCTTGTCCAGGTTAGTTTCATTTTGTAACAAAATATTTAATATTGCTACATTGTGAACTAACAGAAACGGCTCAATGCTTACCAACTCGTTTGTGATAATTTATAGTCCGATCTTTACACCTTGACCAATGATGGCTGTGTTGTTCGAAATCCTGCCCGTGCTAATCCTTGCAACCCTTCTATTGAATTAGGACCCGAGTTCAAGAAGGTAAGTATTGTAATTGTATATATTTCCGTAGCTTGTTCAACATATGATTTTATTTTCATTTTGAACTGCATTCCAGGTTGGTAACTTTTTGGCTCGTTTTAAGGCCATTCCGAGTATTGTAGAACTGGATAGCTTAAAGGTGGCAGGGGATGTATGGTTTGGAGCTGACATTACCTTGAAGGTATGAAATAATTTGCTGACGATCTGGCATTCTTTTGGAACCATAGTTGTTACAGCTTCGCCATGTCGTCGTGGCGCTTAATCCTGCTCGCCATGGAGTCTCCACTCGCCGTATGACTTCTGGCGTTTCCGCATTGCCACACAACGCCGCGGATCCTATCCCAATAATCTTGGTTAAAAAAGTGCGCCTCACCAAAGGCTTGAGGCGCGAGCAGGTTGAGAGGAAATCGTGCGCTACATGAGCTGCTTTTTATTGCTCTTTGCGATTAGTTTGTCGATGACTTTTGGCACTTCATATACTAGTTCCAGAAATTTCGTAGGTGCTATATATTGATATGTTATTATGTTTTTCCCTTTTCATCCTTCTCTTTTCGGTCTTAAATTTTTAAATTTATCAGATTGTTTAAAATTTTTAAATTTATCAAATAGTTTAAATTTATCAGAACGTTTATCATAAAGTTTAAATTTTTTACTATTAAACTGAGGTTATATTATCAGATAAGAAGATTGTTACCTTTTTTTACTTCTAACAGTTTAACGAAAAAAATAGTATTAATACTATTAACAGTTTATTATATACGTAGTAATAGTTATATATGAGTATATGACAGGTCGTTACTATAAACAGATTAATATATAACAATTTATTTAAAACATATCTTGCATTTAATATGGTACTTATGTTGGTGTATTGCCGATTTGCCACGATGTCGCCACAGCAGGTGCCATATCGCCACGCGCTATGGCGGTCCAGTGATACCGCATCGTGAAACCATGCCAGAACTTTGGGAAAGAAAGATAGAAGTAGGAAAGAAAGAATTTGGGAAGGCGAGAAGAGAAAATGAGTAATATTTTTAGGGTGTTGAGATTTGAAGAAGTAAGGATGACGTGTATATGACTAACTTTCTTTACACTTCTTTGGAAAGAAAGATAATTTATTTGTTCTTAAGACAAGTTATCCCTCATAAAATGGAACAATCAATTGCATCAATGAGGTTGTAATGTTGAATATGTAAATGAAAGAAATATCCTCCTTGATAAGTTTTCCCTCTACTAATGAAGTCATACCAAATAAAGTGTTAACCTTTTTTTATTCTCTAATTTGTTTTCCATTCCTCAGGGGAAGGTGACGATTACTGCAAAATCTGGTAAGTTAGAAATTCCAGATGGGGCTGTCATTGCAGACAAGGTAATTTACTGTTTCTGGCATTGAATGAGCTTTTTAGTTTGCTAGAATTTTGTCTGTGCATATTTAAGTCACATATTTCTACCAAACTGACTTCAATGATTTTGGAGGCCAAATCAGACAATACTAGAATAAAGTAATGTATCTCTACTTTCTTTTTAGCAAAAAGTAAAGAAAATGTTAATCTTGCCCTTATTTCCATATATCATTATCTTTATTTTATTACAATAAAATTTGGTCCCATTAATAGGTTTTCGAGCGTTCATTTGGTCCCATTAATCTAATTAAGCCATTTTATAACATTGGTAATATTGGCCTAGTTTTTACCTTTAGCAATTAAATATCTATCTCTAATTGGTGCTTGGCTTTTTCCTCAATAATGTTGCAGGAAGTCTAATGAGTTGCTTCTCTTCATGGAAAAGAAGCTTATCAAGACACCATGTGTGTGCTTTTAGATTTCTCCACCTGCGTCGCTTGAAAATTTTGATATTGTTCTGTTATAAAAATAAATGGACCAATTTTGTAATAATATATATTAAGAGCATTATATATGTTCTTGTAGTTGACCTACTGCACAGTCTGCATTGCTCTTCACTCTGCAAAGTTTCAATAGACATGCAATGTTGCCAATTAACCATGCAAAGCTGAAATTGTTTGTGCAATGTTTTTTTATAAAAACTTTGGTCTATTTTTTTTTTTTTTTTTGTCAAAAATGCTATAGTTACCCACATTATGTACTACATTTGCACCTAGGGGTGGACTGGGACGGGTCGGGCACGGCTGGGCTACGGGACCAAGGAATTCAGGCCCGGTACTGGCCCGGTTTGTACCGGTTCTGTTCTGGGCTTGGGACGGGCCTTAATTATTTTTTTGTTATTTTGTTATTTTGAATTAATTCGACCTAGGAATGGACCTGTGCGGGCTTTTTTTCGTTTTTTGAGACCCGGAATTGGCCCGGGTATATACCGGGTCGGGCTGGGTTCGGGCAATTTTATGTTGTTTAATACTTTAATATATATATATATATATATATATATATATATATATACTTAATATATGTATTTATAAGTAGATAATAAGTATACAAGTAATATACAAGTATAGAGTAAATTTCCTAAATAGGAGTAAAAAAGTATTGAAATTCCAATATAGAAATTTCTAAGTATAAAAATTTCCTAAATTTTTATTTTTTAAATAAGAGTAAATTTCTGCCATGTTTGGCATTACTAGACTTTTAAACATGACATTTTTTTCAAACTTGGCAGATTACTCCTATTCAAGGAATAAAAAACATGATTTCTATTTTGGAATTTCAATGCGTTTTTACTCCTATTTATGGCAATTTCTAATAAGTATATTACTATAAGATGAGTAATACACTTATATTTAATACTTTCATATATATATATATATATATATACTCCCTCCGTCCCAATTTGTTTTGCAAAGTCAACATTTTTTGGTCAACCAAAAATAAAAGTCAACTCTCCTTATGGATAATTAATTCAATTTTCAATAATTAAAATTTACATATTCATAAACTACATTAAAATATCTTCAAAGTTGTAAACTCCAAATTAGAACATAATTAAAAATTGACATTCAAATTAAGTGAACAAAATGAGACAATTTGACTAAGAAAAGTCAAATTTGCATCTCTTTTTGGGACGGAGGTAGTCTATATATATATTAAGTAGAACCAAACATTTCAACTCAGCTAGTTGTGAGGTTACCGTACCTAGTGAGAGGTCTCGAGTTCGAAACCCGTTAGGCACATAAGGGTTTGAAACTCAATGGAGTGAGTTTCAGTCTTGATTACTCCATGCCCCCCAGCCCCCCCTCCCGGAGTAAAAAAAAAGTATATATTAAGTAGATGTAATATGTAAATATAAGTAAATAACAATAATATAATTAATTTTTTTTAAAAAAAATAGAGGTCTGGCCTGGCCGGTTCATTGTTTGGAGACACGGAGCCCGCCCCAAGAGAAAATGGTCCGGGTCTAGTGGACCGGGTCCGGAATCGGGCCTCGGGTCGGGCCGGGCCGGGCCGGTTTGAAACAGTACCGAGCCGGGCCGGTTGACCCAACCTGAGTCCATCCCTAATTTCACCCCCACCCACCCACCCTCACCCCCTAAACAGCCTAGCCCCACCCACCTAGCAGCCAGGCCAATGAGAAGGAAAAAATATTAATTGGTGACCGTTAGGCCCAGACTGGGCCCAGTCGGACCGGTCCGATCCACCAAAATAGGAGCCCGATGCCCGCCTACTTCTTCAACCGGGTTGAGTACCGGGCTTGGGCTTGGTCCCGGTCAAGTGGGTTGGGCAGTCCCGTCCTAGTCCATCCCTATTTGCACCCCATATAAAAATCTCATTTTCTTTCTTTATTGTTGTTCCCTTTTTTACTCTCCTCTTTCCTTTTCTCTCTTGTGCCTCTTTCATTACAGCAAATCCCCATTCCCCCTATCTTTCTTTTTTCTTCATTTCGATAGCTCCTCCCACTTTTAAAGGTCTTGATCAACATAAAAGATTTATGAGCAACCACAAATTCAACCTATTTCCCCGCCATGACCTTGTTAGTGACGTAATATTTTATTTCGTATTTTTTGTGTATTTACGGTTTATACATTTTTATTGTAAAAAAATATATATTTATATAATATATGTTGTTATGATGTTGAAGTGAAGGGTTATTACATTGTGATATTAGTATGAATTTGTGATGTTTGTAATTTAAATTTTTATTCAACTATTCTATTTCAATTTTTTGCTTATAAAGTGTTTGTTTAAATGTCTCAATGAACTTTTTTTTCATATCCACGAATTTTTTATATTCTTTCTCCAATTTCGTAAATGTATTTTTATTATTAACAAGTGTTAGATATTGTTTTCAATTTTCAAACTGAAATTGTGTTTTATCATGGTTTTATTTATTTGACAACTAGTAATCTCACTCGTGCGATGCACGACATGAGATTTTGTTTTTTAAATTTATTTATGCTAAACAATTCAAGATACTCTATTCATTGACGGCACTATGCAATGCCATGCAATAAAGATATACATCAACGCAACACACAAAACACACTTATAATATTATGGCGAAAATGAGATTACAAAACATGACTCAAAAGTTCAAAACCGTCACACTAATACGTTGAAATCATGACGTTGAAAATAACTGTTTCAAGCAAATCTAAACATTGTTGAAACTTCTTTGAATACTGTATTTTGAGTCTTGTTAGTGGTTCCCTCATCTTCATCAACAATCAGAATTTTCAAACCACATCGGTTGGTCACCCTCGAAATTGCAACATACAACTGTATGTGGGTAAATACAGGTTTTTTCAACAACAACCTAACACGCGACAATGACTGACCTTGACTTTTATTTATAGTCATAGCATATGAAATCATAACAGGATATTGGCGCCGATGAAATTTGAAAGGCAAGCTGGTATCTGATGGTGTCAAGGACAATCTTGGAATTAAAACTTTTTGTCCGACGCTCACACCGGTTAAAATCTTCCCCTCCAAAACATGATCACCAAGCCTCGTTAGAATAAGACATGTTCCATTACACAATCTCATTGAATGATCTATATTTCGCAAAAGCATCACCGGGGTCCCTACCTTTAATGTCAATTCATGATTCGGCACACCAGACAATTTGATACTATTTAAGAACTCAGGCGTGTGCAACTCCGCCATAAAATCGCTCGTGGAATCCACCTTAGAAACAGCGTCTGAACTAAGACATGTCTTTGAAACTTTGCCAACATTAAGTGCCGTCATATAGTCATTAACAACTTCAACAACAGCTAGCGTCAGTGCCAATATTGCACGATCCCGCAAACAACTAATATCACCTGCAGATTCAACATATTCCGGAAATATGCTTTCTACAATCGTAGCTATAGGATCTCCATCTGTACGTATCAATAGATCTTCAGGAATAGTAATACGAACATTGCCATCATTCATTTCACCAACAACACCGTCACCAATGCTGGCAATACAATCTGAAAATACCTTCAAATCGTAAGAATCTGATGGATTAGTCACGTTCTGCAGGCACATATTTTTGGTCAGGCGGAGCACTGTGCATTCTGACCAAAGATATGATGAATTAATGGTAGCATTCACGACATCCTGTCTACTCCCTTGCGGTATCACCGGCAACATCTGCCGAAAATCCCCACCAAAAACCATTGTCTTCCCCCCATATTGAAGAGCACATCGATTTGGTTTATGGAACTGCATTATGTCCCTCATACTCCGGTCCAATGCCTCAAAACAAAACCTATGTAACATTGGAGCTTCGTCCCATATAATCAACTTACAGCGTACAATGAGCCTGGCCAGCGGACTTCCTTGTTTAATATGACACGTCGAGTCTTCATTTAGACTTATCGGTGTTGCAAATCGAGAGTGAGCCGTACGTCCACCCGGGAAAAGAAGAGATGCAATACCACTCGATGCAACATTAAGAACAATCTCCCCTTTAGACCTAATGCAGCAGAAAGGGTCTTCCACGCAAATGTCTTTCCTGAACCTCCGTACCCATAAACAAAATATATACCACCGACCTCTTCATCTACAGACCGCATTATCGTATCATACACTTGCAGTTGCTCATCAGTAAGAGATTTGAACAACGTTGAATGTTCCTCTTTCATTGCAGTTTGATCATAGCGCAATTCTTCAAATATAAGTCTGTCATTAGAAGATAAGAGCGAATCAAGAACCACTGTAGGCATCAGAGGGTAATCGTGCAAACTTTTTCCACAAGTTTGTAACAACCTTTCTATTTCTTGCAAAGCAAACTTCTCCAAATTGATCGTCAGAAAGAATTAAATCTAGAATATGAAATAGAGTTAAATAACAGTTAAAGTTGAAAGTAACAGGTACAAAAGAATCACATCGTAAGTATATAATATATTGAAATAATAAATGGTCATTAGTCAATCACAACCTGGATGTTGTAATAGTTGCCTATGCATATATTGTATGTCATCAACCATGAAAGACCAACATTTGTTCCAAACGTACTCAGGCCTAGCCATTGACTATGTCCATAACAATATTACAAATAGAATCCTCAAACAATAGGCAGATGAGAAATGGCTCGCCTCAATAAAAGCATCAATGAATTCTTTATCATCGTCGAGCAAGCCCAACGCATAGCATGCATCATGAAAAGAATCCTAAATGACACCATTTAAGAGTATCAAATTGTCTGGTGTGCCGAATCACATTCGTGGAGCAACTCGGGCGTGGTGCACCTGAGTCACCCGGCCCGGGTCCATCCCTAATCACCATCAACTGTCTGGTAAAACCCTGTCGTGACTCGATCATGACCTTTATTTATGTACTTAAACAAATATTTGATTGACCTTGATTGATTACACCACTCTACGTTCATATGGGCTCGATATTTCATCAATAAATAACGGCTGTGGGGAACAACAAACCTATTGTCCAAATCAACCTTATTCTTTGTTATTCTGCGGCCATCACTTCTCCTCCTATACATTGGATAACCTCACAGCAACATAATACAACGGATCAATGTTTATATCTGGAATTTTGGTAGATATTACTCTGTCTATATCAATAGGTGAGGGCAATTTATCCTCGTTCGCTAACCACATCAAAATATGAGCATGAGGCAATCCAAGTTTATGAAACTCAATTGTATAAACAACTGCAAAGTAAACAAATGATGTAAAATAAAATTGAAATTGGGCTAATGTAATAAGGAAATAACTGGAGACAATACCTCCTCGAACATTTCCAAAGGCTTTATTTTTGTGCATATCTCTAATCAAACCGTCGAGCTTAACCTTGAAAACACGACTTATTATATCAGGATGATCTTCCGCTTTCAAATTCCTCGGATGCAAAAAACGATCTATCTCAGGCCATCTTAGATTGCACGTGAAGGTTATGAATAAATCTGGATAACCCGCCCACCTGCAGATGGCCATTGCATCCTGATAATTTTGTATTATATAATGTGCTCCTCCGGTAAAAGTAGGAGGCAACACGATTCTCTTACCCTGTGTATGCGAATCATTTTCTCCACGTAAAAAAAGCATCACTCAAACCCTTATACATCTCACAACGAAGCTGCATTTGATGGGTCCTAACAAACCTCAATTGCGCGGCCTCAACCAAGGTATAACCGTCAACAATGAATTGCTGAAAAAGCCTTTTTGTCCTCAAGATTGATGAATGATTGTCACGGCGTTCTTGAATCCGAAACGCAAGAAACTCCCTAACGCTCACTCTTTTTCTGCCACCTCCAACAATGTTACCACCCCTGGACAACGGCGTATCCTCACGGTAACTATCATCCCCATAAGGGAACAATAATGGATATTGCAGCGCAAAATATGCCAGGTTTAGTTCATTTATTCATTGAAGCGCACCTGACTGTGTTTCAACCAATATCTCTCTCTCACCCATAGATTCATCAAAATATCCAACGGTCAAAGCTGCGACCTCAGAAACAGACAGTAAATTATATGTTCTCGCATCCCCGTAACGCTTCCCAATTAGCCTCAGCCTCACATTCGGTGCATTATCCGCATCTATTTTCTCTTTAGCAAGCCGAAAGGATTTTACCAACACATTATTTTCGTTCAGCATCTCAGTCAACCCAACAACTATACTTTCATGTAACTTCCTTGTCCTAGTATCATCACTGCAAGAAATTTATCACAACTATACTTATAAATCGATTATAAAATGACAAAGGGAAAAAATGGAGAATCGTCTCACCCAACGGCTGAAACTCTATTCTGAACTTCATTTTCCGTGTCATAAATTCACAATTGGGCGAAGTTAGGCTTTGATTCGGGTGGAGGCAACAGGCTACCGATCAGGTGATAATTCTGCCCATGAAGTTTAAAAATTGACGGAGACTTTCCTTTATTGACATTTTGTGTAACTTTACCACCCATCGAAGTGAATGAAAACATACTGTTGTATGATCTCACGTTTTCAATGAAATGTTTGCAACGTTCATCGAAACCGTGGATCAATTCAGATAAGAATGAGGGCGGTTCTTTCATAAAAGGCAAGACAACATTTCCTTGACAACAACACAATGAATACTTAGGATTCTTCTTAGAAGACGCGGAAACAACACGCTCCTCAAACCAAAAAAGGCATTACAAAATCCACACACATATTGTGCATCACCAATGTCCCAGTACTCTACAATTCAAAAATAGAAAACAAATTTAAACAAACGCAAAGATCCAAGAGTGCATATTTATGTAGGGGGGCATTGTAATCGATTGATTTGTCATGGATCAACACGTACCAATTGCTCTGTTATGGTTGTGTGCAGGAAAGGTCTCATAATCCATGTACTCGTCATCAACATCACTATCACAATTGGACGCCATATCCTCCATGTCAAGAAAAGTTGAGGGCACAGAAACTGCAATTTCGGACTCATTGGGAGCTTTTTTATGGCAACCTTTTGGTCCAATACATAACACAATTTTATGTAAACTATGTATAATATATATTTACCCGGCAATGTTGATTAAAAAATAACATACACGTCTATATCAACAATGGTACCTGCACCAAAGTCCAACACATGGGTGGTTTGATGTTGTACTAAACCACCATCACAATAAACAACACTTGGAGTTGAAGACGTTGCTAGAATGCGAGGCTGGTTTGGAGGATGCGGAACTACTTCACCCTCATGAACATCTATAGAATTAGCAAAAGCACAACCAATGACAAAAAACTATTAAATAAAATGTTTATTAAAATTTATACCTCTAAGAGTGAACATCAAATAATTTACTGTATAAAATTAATCATATGATCGTGTTTAAATTGTGTAAACATAGTAAAAATCTAAACCTTCAACTCTAGTAAGAGCAAAAATAAATTTACAACATTTGTACCACCGACTCTTTTAGTTTTTTTTTTTAATATTTTATGTCATATTATAAATGGTAATCAACTATCTGTTTTTGTATGTAGTGAATATTTGGTAGTGATAAAATAAATGCCATAAGTTTTAATTCATAATATTTTATTTTTTTCTATCTATATTTAATTTTATATTTTATTTAAATAATCAATAAATTAAAAAAAGATGAGATGAACTACTACTTTTATTTTGTAATTCTAAAATATAGAACTTGATCAAATAAAATAATAATCATAAGCAAACGAATCAAATCAAACTAAATTAAACATAACATTTTTTACTTTGGTAAACCGAACTTTAAACCGAAACGAAACCAAAACCCAACCGAAAAACAAATGGTTTTAGTTTGACACAAATTCTCCCAACTCGATTACTCGAATAAACCCAAACCTAACCAAAACCGTAGAAAACCGAACCGTAAACCGAATTGGCCACCCTTGGTTAAAATATTAACCAAAAGTGAAAAAAAATACCCATTCATACGGGCCAGCCCAGTCCAATTGATAAACTAAATCCATTAACCCAACATATATAAGCCTAACACCCAGTCCCTACCCCGCTAACCCTCCCATTCTGACGCCGACACCCTACCCCTCTATCTCTCACCAACAACCTCTATCTCTGTCGTTGAAAACATTCAACGCAGCACCATTCACAGCTCCGGTAAGAACCAAAATCCGGCGACAAAAACGACATCGTAGTCTTCAGGGTTACAGTCTAGGATGGACGCCGGTACCCACCTCTTCACACAGAGACATGCCCCAGCCCACATGCAGCAACGACCAAGAATGCTACCTAATGAAGACGCTGAGCAAACCCTAAAAATCACCACCAAGACTGACTCCACCGACAACCAACGACGACGGATCTGCTGCTTTCAATGCGACGTTCTCATGTAACGTATTTCGTTCCACATAATACTCAAACACAAACCCTAACCCGATCCCTTACATACACCACCAAACCACGACCTTCCACGAATCTTCTTCAGCACGAACCTTAAACACAGACCATACACTTTATGAAGCCCTAGATATGTTGCTTTTTTATTTATGAACAACACGACCTCAAGAATGAAATATTTTTTTGAGGAAAAATGTTTAAAGTCCACCACCCCAAGCCCAAAAAATTGAAACTTGTACAGATCTAAAAGAACCCAAGTGCAATAACGATAATATATTCATTTTCTCCTATTTTTAAAAAGTTTTCCAGAACCCAATGATAATATATTCATTCTCTCTGCTTTAGATATTCTTTGAATGCTTATAGGTTCAGTAAAAAAGTTCTAAAAAGAAGTTATTTCATACGAATAAAATTTCTATTAAATGTATCCAAAATATATTTACTATAGCCTATGTTTCTAAAACAGATTTTTTTTTACAGAATTCCCCCCCCCCCCCCCCCCCCCCCCCAAAAAAAAAAATTTACGGGTGGGTGGTTCATAATGTTTTTAATTAGGTATGAAAAATTATATTATTATATCTTTACATAACAGTAGTCTCATAAGACCCATTTTAAAATTTATTGAAATACAAATTACTCCATAAGACGGAATTAATATATGCCATAAAAGTTGAGAAGAATCCGGAGACTATCGGGCAAATATTTTCACTTATTAGTATATGAATATATGAAGTAATTAATCGAGAAAAATGGAAGAAGAATCTAGAACACGTAAAAGTACAGACAATCACTGTACCCACGCAGCGCACTAAAAGACCTGGTCCCACCCACGTTAAGTTTTTTAAAATTGAAATCACAAATTAGTAAACATCCTCATTTAATGCTAACGGCCCACATGCGTATATAATATTCTCGAACAGGCCACCAACCCCACCACATTAACTATTCTCGACCCACCCATCCCATTTTTTTCTAGGAAGCACGTACCAAATTAATTAATTATTTTAAAACCCACCCACCACATTAAAAACCCACACACCACATTAAAAAATAAAAACCCATCCACCACCCACCACACTTAAAAACCCACCCACCACCAACCACATTTATTCGTCTATCTAAAACAACCATCCACAATTATTATACTCCAACCACCAACAACAAAAAAACAACAACATCCAAGCCTTAGTCCCAAAAGATATTGGGGTCGGCTAACATGAATCGATACATGATATCACAACCAAAAGGAAAAGAAAGAAAATAAAGATAAAAAAGATAAGCTATTGTAAAAAGATAATATAAAAAGAGATGAATATACATAAAAATGATAAAATAAAAAGGCTACAAATAATGCTTATATATATAAGGATAAAAACAAGGAAAAAAAAAGATGAAGGAAAAAGATTATACGAGATCACTCCTTCACGCGAATACCCGCCCTCCACTTAGTTCTCTCCAAAGTCATGCCCTCATCCAACCCCAGAAGAAGCATATCACTTCGAACTCCCCTAACGCACGTGTGTTTGGGTCTTCCTCTCCCTCTTTTCCCTGCCTCTTCTCCACACATCTCAACTCGTCTGACAGGTGCATCACTCGGTCTTCTACGCACATGACCAAACCACCATAGGCGCGACTCCCGCATCTTGTCTTCAATAGGTGCTACTCTCACCCTTTGTCTGATTGTCTCATTCCTCACGCGGTCCTTCCTAGTATGCCCACACATCCAACGCAGCATGCTCATCTCTGCCACACTCATCTTTTGAATGTGACATTGTTTCACCGCCCAACACTCTACGCCATACAGTAATGCAAGCCTAATTGTTGTCCTATAAATATTACCCTTCAGTCTAGCCGTCATACCTCGGTCGCATAGAAATCCTGACGCACTCTTCCACTTCATCCACCCTGTTCTGATTCTATGGGATACATCTCCATCTAACTCACCGTCCTTCTGAATTATGGAGCCCAAGTAACGGAACATATCGCTGACTGGTATCTCCTTACCACCCAGAGTAATTCCGCTATTACCACTGCTTCTACCTCCACCAAACTTGCACTCCATGTACTCTGTCTTGCTCCGACTTAGTTTGAAACCCTTATTCTCCAATGTTTGTCGTCGTACTTCCAACTTTGCTTTAAGACCTGATTGCATCTCATCAATCAATACAATATCGTCGGCAAACATCATGCACCACGGTATATCGTCTTGAATTGACTTCGTAAGTTCATCCATGACTATGCAAAATAAGAAAGGGCTCAAGGCCGATCCTTGGTGCACTCCGATAGTAATAGGGAACTCTTCAGTCCTCCCTACACTAGTACGGACACTTGTAGTACAATCCTCATACATATCCATGATGATGCTTATATACCTGCGTGATATGCCTTTCCTAGTTAAGGCCCACCATAGAACTTCTTGAGGTACCATATCATATGCCTTTTCTAAGTCAATGAACACCAAATGCAGATCCATATGAGCGTCTCTATACTTCTCCATAAGTTGCCGAAGAAGGTGAATGGCCTCAGTTGTTGAGCGACCAGGCATAAAACCGAATTGATTCTCTGAAATCTTCACAGTTCTTCGAAGTCTTTGCACAATCACTCGCTCCCAAAGTTTCAGGGTGTGATTCATAAGCTTAATCCCTCGATAGTTGGCACATTCTTGTATATCACCTTTATTCTTAAATAAGGGGATAAGAGTACTCTTCCTCCAACTCGTTGGCATCTTGTTGTTTCTCCAAATCATGTTGAAAAAACTTGTTAACCACTCGACGCCTCTCTCTCCCAAACTTCTCCAAGCCTCGATCGGTATGCCATCTGGCCCCATCGCTGTCTTCTGTCCCATCTTCCTCAAAGCTTCTTTAACTTCCGTTGTTTGGATCCTTCTCACAAAATCATGATTTACCATACAATCTGGTATGGACAAATCACCGATATCTTGCGTTTTGTTCCTGTTGAATAGTGTATCAAAATATGACCTCCATCTCTCTTTTATCTCTCCATCGTCCATTAATATCCTCTGATCGACATCCTTCACACACTTAACTTTTGCAATATCTTGAGTCCTGCGATCACGAAGACGAGCAAGTCTATAAATATCTAGTTCTCCTTCTTTAGAGTCCAACTTTTCATACAACTCCTTGTTCACTTTCCCTCGTGCTTCTCTTACGGCTTTCTTTGTTTGTCTTTTAGCCTCCTTGTATGCTTCTATGTTCTCATCACTCCAACTTGTCCCCAACTTTTTGTAGCAATCTCTTTTGTTCCTTATGGCTTGTTTCACCTCACCATTCCACCAAGATGTGTCCTTTTTAGGTGGCAGACATCCTTTAGATTCTG